ATTTTATGTATTTATTCATGAGAGATAGAGAGAGAGAGAGAGAGAGAGAGAGAGAGAGAGGCAGAGACATAGGCAGAGAGAGAAGCAGACTCCATGCAGGGAGCCTGATATGGGACTTGATCGCAGGACTTCAGGATCACACCCTGAGCTGAAGGCAGACGCTCAATTGCTGAGCCACCCAGGTGTCCCTGGTCACTATTTCCTTAAGGACACTTGGAAACATGTATCATCTTTTAAGCATCTTTTCTTTCAGAACTGGAATATAACTAATCTTGTGCAAAATTGTTTTTATTCTTTACATTTGAATCAAAATTTTTTTAAAAATTTGGTCAGGCAAGGTTAGTTTTCTCTCATTAGTTGTGTGAATAGGTGGTTTCTAGTTTTTGAATTCCTCAAGTCTCAAAATGTTACTTGTTAACTATTAAACATGATGTATCAGAAGATGCATTAGATTTGGGATCTGGAGGCTAAGCCTTTGATTATTTAATACTTAGATATATCTGAAATAGGTCTTTATTTCCTTACTTATAAAATATGAGGGGTAGAACATATGATCTCTAAGGTGCCTTCTAGTTTCAAAATTTCTATGACTATATGTTCCCATGTGACCTAAAACCACAAATTTATTCTCTCACAGTTCTGGAGGCAGGAAATCTGAAATCGGTTTCACTGGACCAAAATCAAGTTTTTGGCAAGGCTGCGCTTCCTCCAGAGGCTCTAGAGAATCTGCTCTTTGCCTCTTGGAGGTTTTGATGGCTGCTGGTCTTCCTTGGCTTGTGACAGCTGCATCATTACAATATCTACCTCTATCTTCACATCACCTTCCCCCCTCTGTATGTTAAAGTCTTTCTTTGCCTCTCTTTTTATAAAAATATGTATGATCACATTTAGGGCCCTCCCAGGATAACTCCAGATCCCAATATCCTTAACTTAATCATACCTGCAAAGACCCCTTTTGGACATTTACTGGGTCCAGGGCTTAGAACATGGACGTATCTTCAGGTCCTACCACAGTCCACCCAGTGGCCCACATGCAAAATTTATATTCATCCCCTTTCCAGTATTCCCCAGTTTCTCAGCAGGAACTCAAGTTCAAAAATCTCATCTAAATGTCATCAGCCGGGATCCCTGGGTGGCGCAGCGGTTTGGCGCCTGCCTTTGGCCCAGGGCGCGATTCTGGAGACCCGGGATCGAATCCCACGTCGGGCTCCCGATGCATGGAGCCTGCTTCTCCCTCTGCCTGTGTCTCTGCCTCTCTCTCTCTCTCTCTGTGTGACTATCATAAATTAAAAAAAAATTAAAAAAAAAGAATAAATAAATAAATATTTAAAAAAAAAAAATAAATGTCATCAGCCCAAACCAAATCTTATCATCTCAAGCAGGTATGGGTAAGCTCTGAATAAGATCTATCCTGGGCCATATTCCTCTACATATGATCCTTTAGAATTAGAAAACGAATTACCTGCTTTGAAAATGCAATGATGGAACAACCATAGTGTAATAATTATAGATATTCCCATTTGAAAATACAAGGAAGAAAGGGGTCACCAGTCCTAAGTACTTTTGAAACCTTAGCAGGGTTGGGATGCCTGGGTGGCTCAGCGGTTGAGCATCTGCCTTTAGCTCAAGGTGTGATCCCAGAGTTCCGGGAAGGAGTCCCACGATGGAGTCCCACATCAGGCTCCTCATGGAGAGCCTGCATCTCCCTCTGCCTATGTCTCTGCCTCTCTCTCTGTGTCTCTCATGAATAAATAAAATCTTAAAAAAAAAAAAAAAGAAAAAAGAAGAAATCCAGCAGGGCAAATTCTATTAGGTTTCAAAGCCTGGTAATCATCTTCTCTGGCTTAAGGCTTCACCCTTCGGGCCCATGGCTCCATCCTTTGTGCCTGTGGCTCTGGCCTTAGCCTCTGTACCTGTGGATTTGGCCTGTGTATCTTTAGCTCTGGCTTGAAGTCATTCTTCCTTTTCTTTGAAGTCCATCTTTACAGCTGAGTGATTTGATCAACCTGTGGCTGACTGTAGAATTTTGGGAATCTGACTTGTCCTTCATTTTATCCTATTTCTGTCTCTTTCAGTCCAAGCTGGCATTATTTCTGCTGGTATAACATTCTCAAAAGATCTTATGGGGGGCAGCCCGGGTGGCTTAGCGTTTTAGCACCACCTTCAGTCCAGGGCCTGATCCTGGAGCCCCGGAATCCAGTCCCATGTCGGGCTCCCTGCATGGAGCCTGCTTCTCCCTCTGCCTGTGTCTCTGCCTCTCTCTCTTTGTATGTCTCTCATGAATAAATGAATAAAATCTTAAAAAAAAAAAGACAGAAAAAATAAAAGACCTTATGTGTATCCTTTGTAGTATGCCATTAGATAAGAGGCCCTCCGGAGATCTTCCTTGGAGAATCCCATCTATGTTGCTGGTTTGTGCTGAGATCATTGAGGGGATCCGTGAATCAGTGCCTAATCTCTTCAGACTAGCAAAACACTGTCTAGCCATACACTTGTTCTTCTCTCCAGAGCATGCTTTCCTAACAGTGTCTCCTAATTTGATCATCTTTTGCATTCTGAGCAGGCTGAAAATTTCCCAAATCATCAAGTTCTGGGTCCTTTGGCTTAGTAGTTCTTCCCACAATGTAGCTCTTTCCTCCTGCATTTCACTCTAAGCAGCAGTAAGAAAGTGCACTTCACCTTCAACACTGGGTTTGGAAAAATCTCCACAGCTAAACATTCCAAGTTCATTGCTTACAAGTTTTTCCAACACAACTCAGCTAAGTTTTCTGCCAGTTTGTAAGAAGGGTTGCCTTTCTTTCAATTTCCAATAACATATTTCTCATTTTCTCCTGAGCTCTCATCAGAAGCTCTTTAGTAGTCATATTTCTACCAGTGTTCCATTTATGTTGATAGAGGCTTTCTCTACCATGCTCCTCACTTCCTCCTGAGTTCTCAGTGGAAGGGTCTGTGACATCCATATTTCTACCAATAGCCTATTTAAATATTTTTTTAATATTCACCTACATTTTTTCTAATAACAACCAAAAAATTCTTCCATCCTCACCCATTATCAAATTTCAGAACTTCTTTCACATTTTTAGATAGTTTGTTACTCTAGCCCCTCATATCTAGGTACCAGAGTGTATATATTAGTTTTCTGTGGCTACTATAACAAATTACCACAAACCTAATGACTTAAAACAGAAATTTATTCTCTCACAGTTCTGGAGGCCAGAAATCTGAAATCAGTTTTACTAGACAGAAATGAAGGTACTGATAGGGCCTCATTCCATCTGGGTATTCTAGGGGAAAATCCATTTCTTGCCTCTTCCAGCTTTTGGTGGCTGCTGGCCTTTATTGGCTTGAGTTCACATAACTCCCGTCTCTGCCTCTATCATCACAGCACCTTCTCCCTCTGGTGTGTGTGTCAGAATCTCTTTGTGTCTCCCCCTTAGAAGGATGCACTTAATTGCATTTAGGGCCCACTCAGATAATCTAAGGTTAGATAATCTCTTTATCTCAACATTCTTCCTAACGTAATCACATCTACAAAGTCCCTTTTTAGTCAGATTCGGTAACATTCATAGGTTCCAGGGATTTGGTTGTATCTTTTGGGAGGCTGTTCTTAAACCTATCTTACGTAGCACTGTATTATTTTTCTTGTTGTCGCATAACTTGACTCTTAAAAGTATAAACGTTAGAGACAGTAATGTAAATTCAGACTGGTTTGGATTTTCGTAACTTGTACGGAAATCTCATTACAATACTCTTCTTAGGATTTATCCTGAAGGTTGGATTTTGAACTAACTGTTTTAGAGAGGAGTCTTTCTGATGCATTGGATGATGCATCTGATGAATGGATTGTGTTATAGGCTTTTTGCTAAATATATTTTGTAGCAGCTAATGTGCAATGTGCTATCCATAATTTTATCCATAATTTGCTTGAAAGCAACTCCCTTAGGCTGAGCTTTGTGGAGCCACCAAATAAGATTTTCCCTTTCCTCTTTTTTTTTATAACAGCTGTATTGATTTATAGTTTACATACTATATACAATCCACCCATTTAAAGTATAATATTCAGTGATTTCAATATATGCAGAGTTATACAACCTATAGTCAATTTTAGAACATTTTCATTACCCAAAAGAAACCCCATACCCTTTAATAACCAAACTCCATCTCCTCCCAAGCCCTTCAGCCCTATCTAATCTGTTAATCTATTTTCTGTCTCTATAAATTTGCCTATTCTGGGCATTTCATATATATAGAATCATTCAGTATGTGGTCTTTTGTGTCTGGTGTTTGTCACTTGGTATGTTCTCAAGATTCATCCATGTTGTAGCACGTATCTCCACTTCATTCCTTTTTGTGGTTGTATGGATGTAGTACATTTTACTTCTCCACTCATCAGTTGGTGGGCATCTGGGTTGTTTCAGCTTTTGTGTTACCTGCCTTTTTTAAGTCTCAGTCCAATTGAGAAATAGACGAGGGAATCAGGTGTTGGAGATTAAAATATCAGCCTTATCAATGATAAAGATGATTATAGCAAAAGGCTTAGTTCTTTAACTCCCTATATGCAGATCTTCCTCCCATTCCTTCTCCCTGTTCCCAGAGACTGAGGGCAGAGTCTGCTCCTGTCACTTTACTTCAGGGATGAGCAGAGACTGTGTTCTGAAGATGGCCTCCTTCACAGGAGAGAGAAACCAGAAAGGACCTAGCCACGTACTTTCTCTGGGAGAGAGGAGAATGGGGTCCATACCGCAAAACTTCGGAAAAGGCAAATTGCTCCTGTGATTAGGAGCCAGAGTAGGTAGGAAACTGGGAGGAAGATGGAATGATTTCTTCTAACACTAAGAAGTTTGGCATTTTAGCTTTCTGTCTTAACAGCTAAAGCAAAATGTATTTTTCTTTGATTATGAGTTATTAAAAGTGCCACCAGTCAAACATGTAAACAGTTGAACAGTTTAAATGAGAGCATTTATTAATTCTAAAATAGCTTGTTGTCCCATAATTGATAGGCTTCTCCACCAACTAAAGGAAGATAATTCTGAGTTAATTAATAAGCTGTGGACTGATATTCAGCAGAAAATAGCAGCACAGTCACAAACCCCTTCAGGAACTCCATCACCTGCCCCTCCATCAGGAGAACAAAAAGGTTTGTTCCACCATTGTCTTATTTTGCAGGAAATAGTGACTTGTTTTATTATGTTGTTTCTTAAATATAGTAATTTTTAAAGGAGTATTATTTGAGTTTTGACTGACTTTACCAAATTGTATACTACTGATTGATCTATTAATTGAAATGCTTTAAACTTTTTTTGTTGTTCACTTGAGAGTCTTTTGGAAATATACATATATTTTTTCAGCTGCTCTGAATGCTACTGGTGCTGTCAAGAGAATCCATACCAGGGTTCAATCTGAAGAATCTACTGCGGCTCTAGACTCAAGCTATGTTGTCGGACAAGTGCTGAACTCAAGGAAGCAAAAACAGTTGTTAAATAAAGGTTCAGTCCCTTAATTTACAAAGATGAATTATTAAACATGTAACTTGATACAGCTTGCTTAATCTCTTAATAGAGTTTTTTCCCTTAAACTCATCCAGTTGGAGCCAACTAATTAAGGCTTTGTTGAACAGTATCTAAGAAATGCCTCCAAATACAACAATGTAACTCTATAAAAAAAATCGTTCTAATACATTCATTATAGATAGTGTAAACCTGATTTAAACTGTATGAATTCTTTTGTGAGAAAATGGTGATAATTTCTATAAAAAGCTTTTATAAACTGAGTAACAGTTAATGATTTTTCTAGTAGCTTGCTGGCCTAATTTTTCCTGGTCTTCTAATAGAATGACTTCTGTTATTCTCAGTGAAAAGAAAACCGGATTCACATTCTTCTTCCAAGCAAAAGAAGAACACATTAACAGCTAGCACAGCCTCCACCGACTTACCAAATAGCAATAATTCCAACCTGGATGTCCTCAAACACATGATAAATGAGGTGGAACATGAAATGGAAGAATATGAACGGTGGACAGGACGTGAGGTCAGGGGACTGCAGAGTAGTCAGGGTCTTACAGGCTTCACTTTGTCACTGGTGGGCTCCCTGTGTCGCCTGGTTCGGTACCTTAAAGAGGTAAGAGCAAGAAGTTATCAGAGTCTCTTCTTCAGAGTGGTAGTAGAAATTTTTTTTTTCCCTCTACACTTAATTTATTGCAATTTCCAAATGAAATATCGTCAAATTCAAATAGATTTGTTTAAAATACCTCAGTTTTAGATTATCTGCAATAAAATTTTCTCCTCTTAATTTTCCTCTACATGCTGATTTATATATCATCCATTATAAATGATGTTGGTTTTAATATGTTGATTTTAATTCATAAAATATAATTAGTAAGGTAAATCTATAAATTGTGTCTTATGCTGACATTGGATATTATGGCTTGCAGTATTAAATTCAGTAGTACTGTTAAGTGTGTCCTCACTCTGTTGCTTTTCTCAGTTTCCTACTCCCACTGTGGTTCAGTTTGGAAAGTGGCATGCCTGCAATCTAGACACAGACTGGGAAAATTCTTCAGATTATCCATGTGGCTACTTGGACTTTGTCTGAAGTGGGAGATCTTTTGTTGCTGTGAAAATAATTTATAAGAGAAGCACAAATTGTTTCTTTAATTCATCAGTAAATAATCAGTCTTCAGAATGCTGTGGAATTAGAGTTAGCTATACATTTCATCTTTCAAGAATCATTTAAACTGTTATTTACTTTTTATATATTTAAATTTGTTAAATACAACAAAAAATGTTCAAGGAAATTTTATTATTAAAGTAGTTGATTCATCACTCTAATTCAGATGTTTCAATTTCTCTGGAGCTATCTTCCTAAAATTACTTTTTAGTGAAATATTTATTGTACTATCAGACTTATGAAAGTCTTACCTTTCTTCTGCCCTTAAGTTAGGAGTCTCCAGAAGTGTACTTTTGGCTCTCCAAAGGTATTACAGGTTTAGTAGCATCTGCTGATCACCATTCACATGGTATGAAATTCAAAGAAACAGAGGGATATAGATAAAAATTCTGATTCTTACCCTTAATATCCATTTAACTGGTTTGCTTCCTTGTAGCCAGCTATCATTACCAGATATGAGTGTATTCTTCTAGAGATACTCTGTGTGTATTCAAACAATATGTATATGTACTTCCCTCTACTTTATTCTACAAAAATTGTATTTACTTCTGTATACCATTTTGTTTATTGTGTTCTATGTAAAGAAGGGAAAAGGACACAGCATTTCATTTAATGAAATATAAAGCTTTTAATACAAATGTGTAATTCTCATTACTGTCACAATATACTTTGTAAGTATTATTTTCTTTGACAGCTTTGAGTAGAAACTCTTAGTTTTCAGTATTTGATGCTTTTGATGGGAGTTTATTCTTGGGAGTTTTATTGATGCAAGTTGACTTTTTTTTTTTTTTTTTTGTAGAGTGAGCTCCAGCTGCGTAAAGAAGTAGAGACAAGGCACCAACTGGAACAAATGTTAGGTGATCATCGAGAGCTTATTGATGCTCTTACAGCTGAAATTCTTCTTCTTAGAGAAGAAAATACTGCTACCCAGGTACTTAGAGGAAATCCCAAACTTTTCTTTTCTTTTTTTTTTTTTTTAAAGATTTTATTTATTTATGAGAGGCACAGAGAGAGAGAGAGGCAGAGACACAGGCAGAGGGAGAAGCAGGCTCCATGTAGGGAGCCCAATGTGGGACTCGATCCCGGGTCTCCAGGGCCACGCTGAGCCACCCAGGCTGCCCAACCCCAAACTTTTCTATGTTTAGTAGAATAAAACATTTTTAAGAATACATAAGATTCTCCTTTAGGTGTCGTTGGTTAAGTTGTGCTAATGTGATTACTTATCACTTCCTTATTATCATCAATGGTAGCTTTTCCTGAACATTTATTATACTGGAGGTACGATAGTAGAAACTTGGACTACAAATAGAATATGTCTACTAAGGGGATCCCTATATCAGCGGTTTAGCGTCTGCCTTTGGCCCAGGGCATGATCCTGGAGTCCTGGGATCGAGTCCCACATCGGGCTCCCTGCATGGAGCCTGCTTCTTTTTCTGCCTGTGTCTCTGCCTCTCTCTCTCTCTCTCTCTCTCTCTCTCTCTCTCTGTGTGTGTGTGTGTGTGTGTCTCATGAATAAATAAATAAAATCTTTGAAAAAAAATGTCTACTATCATTAAGAAACATACTATTTCTTAGTGGAGCAGAGAGAATCCACATTTAAATGGTAACTACCAATATTATAGTAGTTATCCAAAATAAATGAATGAAATAAATAAGTGAAATAAATGTTGTGATAGCTACTTTTTTTTTTTTTTTTTGTGATAGCTACTTTTAACTTCAAAACGGCAGAGGATACCATTTAGGAAGCTTCCTGTAATCATATGCCATTTAAAATTGCTTGCAGTATCTTCATATTTATCAGATAAGTCATCTTTGCTGCTTGTCTGGATAATTGCTCCCTTTTTTTCTTTTCTTTTTTTTAAACATACACAGTATTTTTTCTAGAAACTAATCTTACTGCCTCAATACTTCATTAAATATTGTTTATTTGTGCTCTTTTGGTATTCTCTGTATATTGTTCTCATTGCATTTACACATACATATATGTTTTCAAGACTGAGCTGTTTGAGGGCAGAGATGGTTTTAGTCATCTCTGTTCTCCAGTGATGGTTATTATTACTTTTATTTATCAGTCAAAATACATTGGAAAAGCAATAGTTAGTAGGCAAGTTGTGTTGTATAAACTGACACTAGATATAAGACATGCAATTTTTTATTGATCTATATGGTTCACAAAGCATTTAATTCATCCTTTTAAAGTGTACAATTCAATTGTCTTCAATATATTCAGAGTTATGCACCAGCACAACAATTATCTAATTCCAGAATGTTTTCTTCACCCCAAAGAGAAACCCCAAACTTGTTAGCAGTCGCTCTTCATTCTTTCCTCCCTTTAGCCCCTGGCAATTACAAATCTACTTTGTGTTTTTATAGATATGCTGAATGTGGATATTTCATATAAATGGAATCATGCAATATGTGATCTTTTCTGTCTGATTTCTTTCACTTATCATAAAGTTTTCAGGGCTTAACTATGTTGTAGCATGTGTGAGTACCTCATTCCTTTTTATTGTCCACTAATATTCTGTTATATGGTCTATACCTCGTTTTATCCATTCATCAATTGATGAATATTTGAGTTGTTTCTGCCTTTTTGCGTATTATGAATGAATGATGCTGTTATGAATACTCATGTACAAGTATTTGTGTGAACATAGGCTTTCAATTCTCTTAGGGAGATGAGCAGTTTTAAAATGTACTAATTGGCCCAACAACTATTGATTTGGGCCTGGCACTGTTCTTGGTGTAGAAGATACAGTAGAGAACAAAGAAGAAATCTTTGGCCTCATGGAGCTTATATTCTAAATAAACTCTAAAAAAAAAAAGTGAAGTACATTGTAAGTTAGATGGTGATATGTACTGTAAAGAATAAAGTGGGTAAGAGACTTAGGAAGTACCTAGGGTGGGGAATTGTAATTGTAATTTGGATGGGCCATTCCTGTTTGAGGAGGAGACATTTGAGCCAAGCCCTGAAGAAGGTGAGGAAGTGAGTGTGCAGAGAGCTAAGAGAAGAGCAGTGCAGGCAGAACAGCAGGTGCAAAGGTCTTGAAGTAGGAGCATGGCTGTTGAGCTCAAAAACCACTGTATTAGAATGTGGGAGAGGGAGAAGAGTAGTAGACAAGAGCCGATAGATAAGTCGGGTCATTGGGCTTACAGGCTGGGGAAGGATTTCGGCTTTAATGCTGGATAAGAAGGGAGACCACCGAAGGGTTTTGAGGAGAGAAGAGATGTGATGTGATTTAGGTGGTGGCTGTGTGGAGACTAGATCGGAGATCACCTCCCTTTCTCAGTTCATGGTGCCTTTAGTATCTCAAGACGCCTCTAGGCCAAAAGAAATACCTAATGGTTTTGTTTATTAAGTAGTTAGGTTCAAATGACTTAGTTAAGTATTTAAGTCTTAACAACTTAAATGATGTTTGAAAATACCAAAATATTAATATTGATAGAAAAAGCTCATCTTTATTCATGATTAAATAATTATTATTAATGAGATATGTATCGCAGTTGGGTACTGTATAGCTTCTCAAAGATTGGAATCAGAGAGGTAAGATAGCAGAGGAGTCAGGCTACCCTGAGCTTGCCTCCTCCCTTGAACTCAGCTAGATAAATATCAAATCATTCTGAACACCTAAGAAATTGATTAGAACTTAGAGAGCAAAGGTCGTTCTTAGAAGAATGACCTGTGTAAAGTAGGAACTGCAGAGTTTATTCGTGGAAGGAAGGAGCCTGTGTGTGCTCAAAGGAGGGAGCCCTGACTACAGGGCCTGTAGAAAAAGAGAAGGAGGAGAGAGAGAAATGGGGCTGGGGTGGAGGGTGGGGGAGAAAAAGAGTGAAAACACATGCAGGAGACTGCACAAGAAACCTATTCTGCAAAACCATTGATAGAAAGGAGAAGGTTATAGTACTGCCAGTTTTCTATAAACAGCAGAGCACAGATTCTGAAGTTTCAGAGGTCTGAGACATTGCAGATTTGTGCCTGGGGAGCTGACCAGTGCTCTGAGAGCAGAGCTGAGCCCCAGCAGCGGACAGTCTGAGGATCCCCAGTGTCACATGGGGAGAAATGGTTCCCCTGCCTGGAGTGCATTTAGTAAGGTGATAGGGCCTTTCCATGGGTAAATGACCCTGTGGGCACCATGGAGCTGTCTCACTCACCAGTATAGGTCAAAGAGCCGACAGAGGGCTGCAGACCTTGAGGCCAGCTTTGTATTGCAGTTTACCATAAACTCCCAACTGCTGCACAGTCAGGCAGCTGTCTTCTGGGATAAGCGGGCACTGGCCACAGTGCAAGGAGACCCTCCCCCAGAACCTTGGTGCCTGTTTGTGCTTTGGGGGGTCTCTGAAGTTTGGGCTTTTAAGACCCAGCTGAGCCTAAGATAAGCTGTGAACTACCTCAAACCGATTGGTTCACTGATACCTGCCTGACAGATGTTAAACAGCAACGTGTTCTTCAAAAATTTTAAATGTCCTTTGGTGCCCTTGTGAGTTCACTATAGTGCCCCAAGGTGCTTCAGGCTTTTTTGGGAACAGGCTATAACTAGACTCTAGGTGGTCAAACACAGAAGCAGAGTGTTATACACAAGAGTTATTGAAATAATTCAGGTGAGACATGGCAGCCTGGTCTATCTAGGTTGGAAGTGGGATAAGTTGTGAAAAGTGACCAAATTATGAGTATGTTTTGAAGGCAAGTAGTAGGATTTGCTGATGGTTGGATATGGGGCTAAGGAGAGGATGTGAGAAGAGTCAAGAACTCTTGATTCCAAAGTTACAGACTGATCATTTAGAAGGATGGAGTTGAGCATTTAGAAGGATGGAGTTGCTGTTAATGAGGTGGGGATGTTCAGTTTGGTTTTATACATGTTAAATTTGAGAAGCCTATATGTGAGTTCTAGATGGAGATGCTGAGTGGGCAGTGGAGATGAGTGTGGAATTTGGGAAAAAATTTGGACTGATAAGAAATTGTATAGTACACTTAATTTAGTAGTCCCACTAATAATCCTTCTGACTTCTGATATCTGTGTTTTTATCAAATGCCTGTACATTTTGGATAAATATATGCATATATATATACATACATAAATATGTGTATGTGTATGTATGTGTGCATAAAATTTCCTATCTCTGTGTAGATAATTTTTGTTAACATTATTTATATACGTTACATAAATTCTTATAGGGTCATGTTTATCAGTTTAAATGCCTGTATAATATTCTGTTAAATTTCCTCTGCTTGATATACCTGTCTCTTGAGGTAGCTTGAATCAGTTGATACCATTTATATAAAGAGGTTTCACAGATCAAAAGCCCTGTAAAGAGGTTAATTCTTATTGTTGTAGCAGTGTATTTATTCATTAATAATATTCCATTATACATTTACCCATTCCTCTGTCATAGGACTTTTAAAACATTTATGATTATGTGTTCTTACAAATGCGCTATTCTATTTGAATGAAAGTCCGAAGTACCTAGAGTAAAGTAATGATATAGTTGTACATGTCTAGGTGATGGTCTGATGTCTGATATGCCAATGATGTTATTTCATTCTTTTTTCTCCAGGCAAGACTTCAGCAGTACATGGTCACAACAGATGAGCAGCTTATATCACTCACACATGCCATGAAGAACTGTCCTGTGATAAAAAGCAACAAAGAAAGTCAGACATCAGAAAGGGGATCCACAAGTAGGAAAATTATAGATAATCTAGGTAAGCGTGGTCTTATTATCCCAGGTTGGTATTAAAACACAGAGTAAACAAAACTATAAACTTATGTATTATTGGTCATGTATACATATATAATGTCAGTGTGACAATTGCCATCACTATTTCCAGCTAAGATTTATGGGGTATCTGCTCTTTGCCAGGCATTTGTAAAGTGTTTTATGTGTATTATCTCATTTAGTCCCCATAATAGTCTTACGAAGTAAGTATCATTGTTATCTCTACTTTCTCAAAGAGAAAACCAAGGCTTAGCAAGATCACACAACTAGAAAATAGCAGAATTTGCTTCCTAGAGCAGTGGGGCTTTAATGCCAGCACTTTCACCAGGTTCAGGAGGAGTGGAGATGATCTCGGAAACAAAAAGAAATATTGAGAGTTTTAGAAATTCGCAACTTCTGTTCATTTGTGATGATGTTTGGAAAGCCTTTCTTCATGTACCATCATATGCCAGAGCCTGAATAGGACATTTAGGCTTCACCACGTTTTTTGCTTCTAAGTAATACTTTGATGAATGTCTATGTGTGGCAAGTATTTTATGCACTTTAAGAATGTTTTCTCAGGAGGGATTCTAAGAAGTGGCTGACGAAAATTTAAGTTACATGAGAGAAACTCACTGGCCAGTGCAGGTCTCAAGGACTAAAGGCTGTCAGTGCTTTTCTCAAAAAAAAAAAAAAACAGCTTCCTCTTCCCTGTGCTGGGCCCTTGGGAGCCTTGCCTGTGAGTGACAGCTAAAGGAGGCGAGGGCCTCAGAAGTGAAGGCTCTAGAGTCCGTGTGATTTTGCTTTCTCTGGAACTGCACATCAGTGTAAATACCTGCAGTGTGTCCACACTTTAAGTGCTGATAGCCTCTCTCTTCTTCAGAGGGTCCCATTGTAAATGCTAATGTCTCCGTGCCATTGGTGTTCAGAGGGGAAGAAGTGGCAGAATTTGCACAGGAAGACTTGCCAGTTAAACTGTCTCAGGTGCCAGCTCCCCCGGACAACGTGACTCTGACTAACAGTTTTCCAGTACATGTATTTGAGCCCGCTGTGCTGTTAACACCACCCAGGCAGAAGAGCAGCTCCGGATTCTCCCCCTTGCAGGACGGTAAGCAGGCTTCTTCTCAAGTTGTGTGACTGTTGTTTTATGCTTGTATGTATGTATCAGGTTGTGTCCATTGTTTCCCAATAAGTAGAATTCTCAAAGATACTGAAGCCAAAAGAGAATTTTTCAGGGTTGTTTATATCACGGGTGTTATACCTTTGGTGAAATTTCATTATGTATCTCTTCTGTTAGACATTGTAAATATTAAATCAGATCAAAGGATCAAAGGCCTCAGCTTTAAAATGTGGAGTAAGGAAAATTCTTTTTTCCCTATGGTCCAGGAGTGTAGGAAAGGGTAAGAAATGAGATTATAGTCCAGAGAGTAATGAAAGCTTAACCAAGGAAAGGTAAGAACTTGACTTTAAGGATTTTGTAAATCAGATCTGGTTGTTAACCTCTTTCTCCTTGAAACTTTTTAGCTTAGTCAGTTGAGGTAAGTTTATAATGAAAGTTGATAGACAAAAAGAGCTTTAGGGTCGCTCTTTGTAGGACACAGAGTTTAAAATAAAATTTTGAAAATTTATTGTTAATCCTTGGCTCGGCGATTTTTAATTTGGGGGCTAATGGATGGCCTTCAGAAGTACCATGGAATGCTTTATTGTTTGGGAAATTGTGTTTATTTGTCCACCTATGAATTTTTCTGGACCTATATAGCCTTTTTTTTTTCATTTTCAAAACAGTTCTTCAATCAAAAAACTACCTTAGACTCTCTCCTCCAGTGTTTTTAGAAAAATATTATTCAGTCCTGATTTGCATACATTTTTCTTTCTTTCTTTCTTTCTTTTTTTTTTTTTTTTAAAGATTTTATGTATTTATTCATGGGAGACACAGAGAGACAGAGACATAGGCAGAGGGAGAAGCAGGCTCCCTGTGGGGTGCCTGATGCAGGACTCCATCCCAGGATCCCGGGATCACGACCTGAGCCAAAGGCAGACGCTCAACCACTGAGCCACCCAGGTGCCCCACCATTTTTATTTCTTTAAATAGTGTACATTATCACATAGGGAAACAGAATAATAACTTACAAATTTGGTCAGATTTTCTGTACCTTCTTTTCAATAAAGGACATGAAGAGGCCGTAAGGATTAAAGAAAATGACAAGTCCTTGTCATTATAAAATTTGTTTTGGCATTTATTATGTGATTATAAAGTCTGAAAGATTTTGTGGTAGGGAGACAGTGCTAGGCTGAGGGTCGGAAGTGCTAGAATGCTGGCCCATTTAATGACTAGCAGGGAGGCGGGGCTAAGACCCTTACCTTCTCTGTATTCATTTTCCTAGCTCCAAATGAGAGATTTTTCTTTTATCTTTAATATTCCTCTAGCTCTACAGTTCTGTGATTTGGTGTTACCTCTTCAGAGGCTAGAGAGTATTATTAACTCTGGCTAGATTTAGGATTATATGATTTCAGTTCTGATTTCTGTTCAGGTTAGATTTTCATTTCTTAAAGTAATCTTTCAAATGTTTACGTAGTATTAATAAACTTGCCTAATGATTTCTTTGAGATATTATAAATTATTTTCCACTGGTTAATAGTAAGAGAGCTTGAAGTTCTTTTTTTTTATTTTTTTTATTTTTTTAAAAATTTTTTTGAATTTTTATTTATTTATGATAGTCACAGAGAGAGAGAGAGAGAGAGGCAGAGACACATGCAGAGGGAGAAGCAGGCTCCAGGCACTGGGAGCCCGACGTGGGATTCGATCCCGGGTCTCCAGGATCGCACCCTGGGCCAAAGGCAGGCGCTAAACCGCTGCGCCACCCGGGGTTCCCTCTTTTTTTTTTTTTTTTAAGTGCTAGGCACGGAGCCCAACATGGAGCTTGAACTCCTTAAGATCTGAGCTGAGATCAAGAATTGAACGCTTAACCAACTGAGCCACCCAGGGATCCCCCTCCCTTAAGTTCTTTTAAGGAAACAATTACCATAAATATTCTTACTCTGATTACAAGTAGACTAAATGTTCACTAAAACAAATTATTTGAGGACTGTTATAGACAACCCTTTGTTAGCAGGTTTGCAATGAAAATAATTCCACACATTTCTTTTAGAGTGTGCAGATAGAACAACCTTCGAATGTGTATTCTTAATTGGTGAAGTTTTATCATCGTATTTTTAACATTTTATTTAGAATGCTCACATATAAAGAATTGTTCAGTTAAGCTGAACATGTAGATAAAGGTGGGAGATACATAGGGCTCTTTATCAGCATTTAGTTATGCTCTAGAACAACTCTGTCCAATAGAACTTTCTGTGATCATGAAAATGTTCTATGCTCCATTCAGTCTGAAGCCAGTAGCATCAAGGGGCACTTGAAATGAGGCTAATGTGACTGAAGAACTGAATTATTGATTTCATTTAACTTGAATTAATTTGCATTTGAATTTGAATAGCTGCGTATAGCCAGAGGTTGTCATAATGGACAGCATTGCTCTAGAATTTCCTATGCTAGATCATTTCCTTTAGGTACTAATTGACTTCTTACTTTTATAGCCATGCTTTTTGAAAGAGTAGTTTATATATGCTGTTTCCATTTTCTTATCTCTTATTCATTTCATTTTCAAGTGTCAATTGTAATTTATATTTTCATGTGGTTAAAAAAAGCCGCATACAAAGGTCTCTTCCTCTTTCATCTTTAGACCTGCCCTAAGAGAGAAGCATTTTTTCGCAATTTGATTTCTGCTTCTCTTGTGGTGGTCTCCATAATTGACATAAAATATTTTTTATATTTTTTCTTAAATGTCAGCTTTACACAATAATTATAGACTGTCCTTTATTAAATAAGAAGGTTTAATTAACATTAACTCCTACTTCCCTTCTCTATCTAATTTGGATGATTATATTTTAATTTTTAATTCTTCTGTTGCTTAACTTTGTGACTTCAAATACTTTCTCTTCTTTGTTAACTTTATGCAGCATCTCCAGGCTTGCCGCTGGGAAAGTTGGGGATACCAGCTCTGCTTTCCTTTGCTTCCACTTCCCACCTTCAGTCAGCCTGTCTTTCCTTTTACCACATCCATTGGGTGACATTACATTGTTCCACTACCACAATAGTGTCTTCTGTGTCTTGTCTAGAGATGGATATTGAAAATTGCAAATGACTGCTTTTTGTTTCTCAATCTATTATTACCAGCTTTGTGCCATAGGAAGGAAAAAGTTCTCAGTATAAAGATCAAAGTGAATTTCCTTTATTTCACTTGGTCAGTTGCTCTCTTATTTTATACTGACTTTCTCCTTCAGTTTTTGTTTTGCTTGGAGTTTCAAATTGTTTTTACCCTCTTGTTTACACATGAATGATGTGCTTTTACTCTCTTGTTTACACATGAATAATATCTTTTGGTCCTTTAGTTATACAGTCCGTGGCATGGAATCCACCTTCCTTCCAGAGATACCTTCCCAAAGCTCTTGACCCCTGCTCCAGTCTACACTGCTCCCTGGGCCCACTGCACACCTCTTATCCTGGGACTTGCTAACGTCACACTCCTGGGTTGTATCTACGATTTCTTGGATCCCATTTTTTCCCTCTTCTTTGATTTTTCTCCCTCAAGTTTCTGAATGAAATCATCAGAATGGGTGTATAGAAGGTAAACCCTAAGTTCTTAAAAATCTGAGAATATTTTTACTTTTCTATTACATTTGGTTCATAATTTGGCTAGATAAAGAATTTTGGTCCATAATCTTTTACCCTGTGAAACTAGAGGAATTTTTCTACTGCTTTTTAGTATCTGTGTTGCAGTTAAGATATATGGTGTAATCTCTAACTTTTATTTCTTTGTATTTGATGTACTTTTTCTCTTTGGGAGCTTTAGGATTCCTTTATTTTTATTCTGACCTTGCATAGGGTGTATTAAGTATGTCTTTTTTCTCTCCTTGCATTATGAGGCACCAGTGAGATCTTTTGGACTTGAAGACACATGACTTTCTGCAGTTTTAGAAAGTTGTACATTGACCTTCTGGATCACTTTCTTATATATTTAGTTTTATATCTTCCTTATATTCTGGAAGATTTTTTTCACTTTATATTCAAGCCTGTTTTCTAGATTTTTAAAATTTCACCAAATTATATTTTTAATTTCTAAGCAAGAGCCCTCTCTTATTGTTTGGTTGTCCTGTTTGTATTGATGCTTATTACAAATGCATTATCTTCAAGAAACTGTCTTCTGAGTAACCAGTTAGAATTTTTTTTTTTAAGATTTTATTTATTTATTCATGAGAGACACAGGGAGAGGGAGAAGCAGGCTTCCCACAGGAAACCTGATGCAGGGCTCTATCCCAGGACCCTGGGATCATGACCTGAGCCAAAGGCAGATGCTCAACCACTGAGCCACCCAGGTGCCCCCACCGGTTAGAATTTTATTACATATCTTCTGTATCTGGATTTTCCTTTGCTTCTTAGTCTTTTGTTCTGTTTTCCTACCCTGGTTTTTCTCTTTTGTGCTGTTGATTTTCCATATATGTCTGGTGATCCTTTATTGCCCATCATAGTTACGAATAAATGTCTAGAGTGAATGTTACAGATGGTTGGCATAGGTTTTCTTTTCCGTGGTGTAGGTTGGTCTAGGTCTGTTTTCCCAATAGACTTTCCCTTCAGCAGTTGCTTTGTATATGTGGACCTGCTCTGTAAACTGCAGGCTTCCTTGTATGGTATGCAAGTAGGATCCAGAGGTTCCACTGGGGCTGCCATATTTGCTCTCCCAAGAGCTGAGGTTCTTTTGCTTTTGAGGATGAATGGGGCAAGTCATGAGCACAGCCTGACTGACATAACTATAAAGTAGATGAACTTTCAAGTTATTCTCCAGTTTTCAATACTGCTTCTCACTTTCTCCCTCTGTATGGTCAGCTTTGAGCTAGCAGCCTTTCTAGGAAAGACCTAAAAGTCTTTCCCCCAGGAAGACTGACTTTCATCTATAGCGTCCTTGTAATATATACATGTTCTGAACTGTGGCTTCTGTTCAATTTCCTTCTTTCATACACTTTCCCACTTTTAGTCTTCCAGAAATATGTTGAAATATCTCATTTGCTAATGACTGTCTTCCTAGACAATTATCTTTACTGATGTGGGTTTATTATTTATTTATTTCCTTGTCCGGGAAAGAAGGCAAGTCTGTAGTCTTGAACTAGGAGCTTCTGTCTCCCCAGTTCTTTCCCTATTGGGTCATTTTACCTAAACTACTCTTGCTAAGGGATCTAATGGCTTCCAGGTTAGTGACTCCAGTGTACTTTTCTTTTGTCTTTGTGTTTCTATGTCTTACAGTAGTATTATAGATGGTTAACCACCCCCTCTTGGTTTCTTTCATACCACATTCTTATAATATTTCTCTAAGCTATCTGGCTGTTCCATTTCAGTCTGCTTTGCTAGCTTCTCCTCCTTTATACAGCTCTAGATACAGCTCTTCTTCCTCTGTTGGTGTTGGTTTCTTTTATCATTCTATTCTTTTTCTCTAGATAATCTCAGCTAATTTCATTGCTTCCAGTACTTTCTATATGCCAGTGATTTCCAGTTTTATTAGCTTAGATAACTCTCTTGAGTTTCTGACCCATGAGTCCATCTGCTTGGAGGGATATTTGGATAAATCATCAGGCACTTAAACTTATCCTGTTCAGGGATCCCTGGGTGGCGCAGCGGTTTGGCGCCTGCCTTTGGCCCAGGGCGCGATCCTGGAGACCTGGGATCGAATCCCACGTCAGGCTCCCGGTGCATGGAGCCTGCTTCTCCCTCTGCCTGTGTCTCTGCCTCTCTCTCTCCCTCTCACTGTGTGCCTATCATAAATTAAAAAAAAAAAAAAAACTTATCCTGTTCAAAATGGAACTACTGATAACATCTCTTCCCCCAAATCTGTTATCTTCTCCATCTCTGTAAATCGTATCATTACCCACACAGTTGTTTGTGCCATCTTGATCTGTGTGTTTCCTTTACTCCCCACTTCCAGTTCATCACTCCTAGTTCTCTTGCCAAAATTTCTCAAATTTATCTACTTCGCTCCATCCCTATAGCCAACATACCTTCATCAGAGTTATCATCATCTTTCACCTAGACCACCATGATGCCTTACTGGTCTCCCTACTTCCTTTCTTGGATCTTCCAAGCAACCACAGCATTTAAGAAATATAAACTGGGTCATTGCCAGATCTTCTCCACATTTCATTGCTCATGGATTAAATTATAAAATTCCGAACATGGCTTAAAAAGTTCTGTAAGAAATAGTTTCTGTACACCTCTCCAGTCTCCTTTTTTCCAGTTTTTCCTTGTTGCTGTGTTACACTAAAGTGGCCTCATTTCTTTGCTCTTTCCTATTTTGGGGTGTTCCGTATGTTGTTCTCCCTGCCTGTAATGTTCTTTGTTCTACTTTCTGCCACATTTGTGATCATTTTTAAGTTTTACTTCTTCAGAGATGCCTTTTCCTATCTTCAGTTTGCATTAGGTATTCATACTCCCTCCACCCCCAGGATTCCCAGATATGAATTAATACATGTATTAAAATGTTAACTTGGCAGACTTTTTAACAAGGATACTGATAAAGCCTTAAGTAATATAAATGTCTCTGTATTTGATTGTTTGAGGTGGCATTGCTGGTATATTCCCTCCTAAAATAATTTAGGCATTCAGGAGTCAAACCCTTCTATTGAAATACATTTCAGACTACCATGATGAGTAATGAGAAGATTGTAGTGCCAATCTGTAGAGAAATGATGTATGTTTATTCTGTTTTAATTTTATCTACAGTATTGAGGAGAACTGTTCAAACTCGTCCTGCCCCACGAATTCCTCCAACTGTGGAAATAATTGAGAAAGAACAAAATTGGGAAAAGAACACCTTACCTACTGGCACAGACAATCAGAATTCAAATGAAGAGAATCACCTCTTCACTCAGAGGTGGAGGGTGTCTCACATGGGGGAAGATGTGGAGAACAAAGCCCAGACTCCTTTTGTTAACCTTTCACAGCCCTTCTGCAGTTCCCATTCAAACACTCAGCAGGCCAGAGTCCCCGAGTTCTCAGAAGAGCCTCCAGTACTAGGAGACGGGCAGCAGCTTAAAACAAATGAGGCACTAATACAAAGAAAAGACATATTGACACGAATTGCTGAGTTGACACTGCAGAATTCAGCTATCAAGGCACATCTGAATAATATTATTGAACCAGGAGGAGAGCAAGGGGATGGACTTCGGGAACTAAACAAACAAGAGACAAGTCATGTGAGCAACATGACTACAGTGAGTACCAATGAAGGGTTGATTAGGGACATTTAGGAATTTAAGGACTTTGCTGGAGCACTGTAAGGGCTGAATATGAAGTGATCCTGGATATCTTTGTGGCTGCTACTAGAAGGCTTATGCTTTGTCATGTCCTCATCACAACATAAGGAAAAGTTATTTATCGGTTATTTACCACATGCAGCAAGAGGACAATATAAAATAGAAAATGAGGAAAATAGGACACAGGTAAAATGTGGAGGAAAGCTGAAATAAAGCTGGGAATGAAGTTACAAATATAAAATGTAGAATTAGTATGAGTTGAAAGTCTGCCACACAACTACATTTTAATTGAAAGCATTTTTTACTCTTACAGGGACTCATACAAGAGAATTATGTGTAGCTGGCCCTCAATTCACGAGGAGTTAATTTTTAAGGACACAGAATGCATTTTCCTATAGAAATAATGTTTTAAAGGATTATTAAAGCCATACTTTAATATACATGTGAATCATCTGGAGATATTGCTAAAATGCAGTTTCTTAGTGAGCAGTTCTGAGATAGTTACCTGTGCATTTCTGATAAGTTCCCAGGTGGTGCTGGACTGATATTTAAACTTTGAATAGCAGAAGTCTTCTTATTATAGTGCAGGAATTTTGGAAGTTAAGTAAACTGTAGGCTAACCTGATAACTTAAATCTTCATTTCCTTTGTGGGGAGAAAAGGGATTCCAAATTCCAACTGGGGAGTGTTTAAATACAGGTTCTCATGCTGGTCCCAGTGATGGGAGAGACTTCCTTTTACCCCTTAGTGAGCCAGAGTGGTTCCTGTCAGGGTTCTAATAGGGAATGGAGCAGTGTTTTAGCAGTGGGAAGGAGCTGAGCAGGTTTATGGTTTAAGGGTTCCAGAGGTGAATGCTTCTATAAAACGCTTTACCAATGATAGATTGAGGGCTTTCATGAGGAAGTTTAGGAAGGGGTTGGGGATGGGAAATAAGGGCTACCTCTGTCAGCGCAGGGTCATGGGAAATAAGGGCAGTATGATGAGTGTGGAGTCACAGAGTAACCTTCAGAAGGGCCTACTAAGAGAGGAGCCAGGAAGGAGTATTAGGAGTGGGAAGCAGCCATTGGTATAGATGTAAGTACAGATTGCCTTAATTTTGAGTCATTGGAGGCATTTCTGTGTTTGCAGTTTTGACAATTATTTGAAACAGGTAACTAACTCTTGGTTGTGAAAAGGCAACAGAGTTAAAAACTGAGCTTGCCTACTTTTCTAATTAGTATATAGATCAGGCTAGTGAGGACAATCTATTATTGTCCTCACCACTTCTTTGTCATGATCAGAATTACAAAGTGATCTTTAATTTAAACTGTTTTGCTTCTATCTTTTTTTTACTAATGGGCATAGGCTACAAATTAGTGATTTTTATTAGGAATTGTTTTTTCCCAAAAGGACATATGTAACTCAATGAAAAAATGAAGAATGACACATACATTCCTCTCAGGAATTTTCATATTAAACTTATGTTCTACTCCTTGGGTGGCTTTTTTTAACTTTACTTCTCATATTCCTTTCCAGTAATCTTCTTTCTCAAATTAGGTATCTGAGGCCAACCATGGCTTGGGGAAGCTGACCCCTGGTTAAGAAGAATGATAAGATTCCCAGAAATCTTTGCCAAATAACTCATGGTACATGCATGATGATTGGGATGATAGAAGCATCTCTCAAGTACAGCAGATCCTTTTTTGTACATTTCCATTCAAACCACAGATCTATCATTAATAGATCTGTTTCTTAGAAGTTGGATTGCTAGCAGTACTGTCTTTGCTCATGTGATCTTTTATGTACCTCAGCAAACATGAAGAGATGTTTGACATCTCAAAGCAGGAAAGCTTTGTCCCACAGACACTCTCTCTCTGTGGACAGAGGGACTAGAGGGCTTACATGGTACCAGTATCAGGAGGCTTAGTATCCCTTTTTCTTGAGTCCTAGTTTTTCCACTAAATGACTTGTAGATTTTATTCTTTGCCTATTATTCAAGTATACTTATAGTAAGGGATGTGAAGACTAACTAGCTGGCTCTTAGTGGAAGAGTTTATTTTTACAAAAAGTCAAAATTATGTGGATTATTTTTAATGTGGAATTTGTGCCCCCCCCCCCCTTTAGACTTTTCCAGCAGCACAACCTCTAATACCAAGTAGCATGGAGGAACGGATTGCAGAATTGAATCGACAGAGTATGGAGGCTCGTGGAAAACTCTTGCAGTTAATAGAGCAGCAGAAACTTATTGGTTTGAATCTTTCCTCTCCAACAGTATCACCCATTCCGTCACCTCTCAGAGCATGGACTGGTTGGTCACAAATTAATGATTTAAAAGTCAGATACATGAGAGTTTTCGCTTTCTTGATTTTGCAAGTATATATTAAGCTGAAAGAAATCTCAAAGCATATATTTCAGTGCTTTCAGTTTTACATAGAAAGAAACAGACCTAAGTCACAGAAGGCCAGTCTCCTGGTAGAAAGCTGTTCCATGGTGCCTGCAGTTAATCTTTGGTGTCTGAGTTCCTAAGTTGCCCAGTGTGTAAATGGGATTCATTACAGCATATGATTCACTTAGGACATATGCAGTGGCTAAATATAAAACATTAGAATCAAAATGATAATTTGGAATTTCATCAGCAACAAATTACAAGTTATTTTGTTAAAACCAATTAAAACATTTTCATTTGTGAATTAAACTTTCCATTCTGTTATTACGTATGGAAATGGGAAAACTAGAGGGGATTCTGAGTAATAGAATAGTAACCAAAAAATTAGTTGTCATAATATATTTAAAAAAATTTTTTTTTATTTATTCATGAGAGACATAGAGAGAGAGGCAGAGACACTGGCAGAGGGAGAAGCAGGCTCCGTGCAGGGAGCCTGACGTGGGACTCGATCCTGGGTCTCCAGGATCAGGCCCTGGGCTGAAGGCGGTGCTGAGCCACCAGCGCTGCCCTAGTTATCATAATATTTACATTCAAAAAGGCATTGATGAAATGAAGTAGATCTTAAGTTGTTCTTTGGCAAAAATTGAATTACTAAGACCCTCAAGGAAGAGAGCTGCATGCAGGCTATAGACTAATTTTGGCCCAGTATAAAAGAAGTTTCTAATTGTGAGGAATAGAAAATAATTATATCAGTAAGTGATGTGTTCCCTGAGGTGCTCAAGTGTTGGTGTTTTAAAGGGATTCATCTGTCCTGAGGCTGGTTGAAATAGGCTGTCTTTAAGGTATTTGCCAATAAGACTTTAAAAACATCTTTTATTCCAGTATAATTAACACAGTGTTATATTAGTTTCAGGTGTACCATATAATGACCCAACAATCCTACACATTACTCAGGGATTACTTAGTGTATTCTTAATCCCCTTTACCTGTTTCACCATCCTCCCACCCACCTCTCCTTTGCCAGTAAAACTTTTTCTCTCAGTTACAAATCATTTCTTTTTTGAAACTTCAGACCTAGAAAGCAGACTTTTTTTGAAAATTACTGGAAAATGACTGATTATGCATTTCCCCAGGGCCCTTTCTCTTTGTTTATCCTAGACTATGAAAAATAGCTTTGTCTGCTATTTTTCATAGTCATGAAGCCTAGAGGCAACTTCTGATTAGAATAAATACATTAAATTACCCAATACCTTTGAACATCTATTACCTGCCACCCTGCTCTGGGCCCTGGGGAAACTGTTTCGAACAGGACAAATCCCTGTCCAGCATTATAAGATAATGTTAGTGCTAAAGTACAATGAAGAAGAATAAAGCAAATCACTCTTAAGAATAATTTTGTAATTACATTTAACATCTTCTATTTCAATTGTTCTTTAAGGTTAAAGGTACTTTTATTTCTATTATCTTATTTAGTTCTCCACACACCCTGAAAGTAGACAGAGCTCATATTATAGCTATTTGATACATTAGTAAACTGAGGGAAAAGAAGTTAAGTGATTTGTCTGAAGTTCTAAAGCAAACTGGTAAATTTGCAACCTGTGTTCTTTTCATTCTAGTGTTTATAAGATATTCTTTTTTAAAAGTAAAATTCTTGGTTTCACGGGTACCTTTGTGAGCTGTGATGATAAAGATATAAAAAATCATATGCCATGCAAAACCTCTTTTGTTTTCTAGGGTAATGGAGGAATATGTTATACAATTAAACATGGTTTCATTACCCACTAAAGCCCTGGAAATCACAGGTGTTTAGTAGCGATTCATAGGAGCCTCTCTGAAACTGCCCAGGATAGACTTTAAGTCTTTGATTAGTAGACAGTAAATATTTCTTAATTGATAACCTACTTGTGAAATATTGAAAGTGAACAGTTATACTTGCCAGTAGCTATATAAGCTCTTCAGCCAACTTTCCCCTCTTAAGTTAATGCCTTTAGGAATCTAATAATAGATTTAGAGGTTTTATTTTACTTTATTTTTTTAAAAAGATTTTATTTATTTATTCATAGAGGCACACAGAGTGAGAGGCAGAGACACAAGCAGAGGGAGAAGCAGGCTCCATGCAGGGAGCCCGATGTGGGACTCGATCCTGGGTCTCCAGGATCACGCCCTAGGCTGCAGGGGGCGCTAAACCGCTGCGCCACTGGGGCTGCCCAGATTTAGAGGTTTTAAAGTTTAATTGAATGACTTAAGAAATTTTCCTTTTTCTCAAAAACTTATTTTTTTTGAAAACTTTATAAGCTGTTTTTGACAAAAATCTCAAGTTTTTTAGGGGTAGCTCTTAATTTCTGTTTATCACTTCCAGATCTGACTTGATACTACTTGTCTGAAGGTTCTGGCTTTCTATGAACTGGCATGCTACTGAATTGACACTAGTAACTAAAGTTTTTTGTCTCACAGTTCATTTTGAAAAAAATTCTTCAAGGGTGTCTGTGGGCCATAATGAAAATATAGAAGAACCTCCAAATTTATAATGTGAAATTTGCAGTAAGATAGAAATCAAGTTAAATTTTTACTTTTATTTTAATGAAAGATAATGAAACTAATACTTGTTTTTATATATTAGAAGGAGGAAAGAAGACAATTGAGGTATCTATTCCAGGAGCAGAAGTCCCAGAAAGCTCAAAATGCAGTACTATCTCTCCTACCAGTGGGATAAATACAAGAAGGTAGGGTTACAATGTGAATAGTTACTTAAAGAAATCAAGAATGTGGTATGTTTCATTCTCTTTGTGAAAGTCCAGGGTATCTGACTTAGGTTCAGACAGACCCACTTCTGTAGAGAAAATAAAGTAATTGGAAAAGAGAATTTCTGGGGAGAAAGATGAGGAGTGAGGAACAGGCTTTATGTAGAACAGCATGAGTTGGCTATTGACAACAAGAATAAGATAATAAAACATAGAGCAGTTTATGGGTTATAAAATTACAAGGTAACATATGACAGGGCAGATAAATTGACGAGTGGTATTTTTCCTCTTTGCAGTAAATGAAACTGAAGTTCATTGAGCTAATTGGGTGGTTTGCCTAGCAGGATCACATGGTTGGGAAATGGTGGCACTGAGGACGGACCTGGCTCTTGAGTCCACACTCTACTCACCACTACACTGCACTGCTGTTCTCAGGCTCTTTACTCTTTCAGCCTGGCTCTTCTCCTACCCCTGCACATGCAGATTTCATCTTTAATGTTAAAAAATGGTGGATATTATCATTATACACTTGTCACAACCCATAGAATGTATAACAAAAGGGAGAACCCTGATGTGAGCTATGAATATTTAATTAATAATATATCAATATTATCAGTTGTGATAAATGTAGCAGACTGATGCAAGGTGTTAATAATAGGGGAAACTGTGTGGGGGAGGTGAGGCTTCTATTAAAGCTCTCTGTACTTTATGCTTAGTCTTTTTGTAAACCTGAAACTACTCTAAAAAAGGAAGTCTATTAATTAAAAAAACAAAACAAAAAACTTCGGTTGGTAAAGATATGTTACAAGTAATTGATCTCATTTGGACCTAACTCAGCCATTCTTTTTCAGGCTCTTGCCAATACTGAGATCTGTCAGTCTTATATAATTTTTGAAGGTTAATGATGGTAGATCACTCTCCCACTCTCTTTTATTTCTCATGAATAGATCATCAGGGGCTACTAGTAATTCTTGTTCTCCATTAAACGCCACCACAGGAAGTGGGCGATTCACACCTGTTAATCCAAGAGCAAAGGTATGTGATAAAATGTAATTGTGAAATGTGTGTAGGAGTCAGAAGAGTGGAGGGGAAAGTGGCTGGTTTAGTGATTTCCATTCTAATCAATTATTCTTGTTATCCTAAAGGTGACATAAAATTCTCAGAAGAAAGGAATTTCTAATTCACCTTTCCTAGAAAAAAACATTAAGCCAAATAGTTTCTTTTTTGTTCTGGGATAGCTAAGGAATAAGATAAAATTCAATAGGATTCCATACCCTGGAAATTACTTGTTTCATGCAGAGCATTCCAGTAATGCAGCAGGACATACAGGTGTGCCTTGAAGTAGTAGATAAACTGAGATATTGGTTCCCTCAGTGCTTGCTGTGGTTGTGTGAGCCACTCTCCTTGTCACTTTACTCTAGTAAGCTGTATCTGAGTGTGCCACTGGTTAGAGAAGCTGTGGGTAATCAATGTCATATATATTCTTCATGAGTTCTGATTTGCTGTAGATTAGACCAAATAGTAAATGCTTCAGTAAATACTGAATATTTATAACCCAGATTAATTGATAATCTCAGATATCCCAATTATCTAGCAATAGATGATTTGTCTTTTGCGGTTTCTTATATCCTAAACAATTTTTTTTAAAGATTTATTTATTTGAGAGAGAGAGAGAGAGCGCGTGCAAGTGGGGGTAGGAGTAGAGGGAGCCGAGAGAGAACCTCAAGCAGACTCCCTGCTGAGTGCAGAGCCTGACGTGGGGCTTGATCCCCCAACCCTGAGATCATGACCTGAGCGGAAATCAAGAGTTGGACACTTAACCAACTGAGCCACCCAGGTGCCCCTGAAAAAGTTTTGAAGTAGATTATTTTATATAATTTGATAGTTTCTGAAATTTAGTAATAAATTTAATTTACTATGATCAAATAGCTTTGTTATTTTAAAAAGTTGTACCTATAATACTAGATTTATCCTTTATTTAAAAATTAAGTTTCCTCTATCCATAAGGGGATTTGTTGATCAGGGAATCAGTTATTTGGGAATGACTCTTAGAGAATAAAAACTGCCAGTAGCAATTTAATTTTCGGTACCATTTGATGACCTAGGATAATTTTGGTTCTATGTACTTGGTCTAAATAATTGTAAACCTTGATGGGCTTATGTTTCTGATTACTTTCTAAATCCATCTTGCATCTTTGTTCAACAGATTGAGAAACAGAACGAAGAAGGCTGGTTTGCTCTTTCTACCCATGTGTCATAAGTAAAGATAGTTGTACAGATTTTATTTTCAGTAGTATATTCTTGAGCTTCCACTCCCTTTTCCTGGTTCCTGCTTTCAAGTTTTCATGTCCTTTTAGATAAAACCTGCAAAGTTCTTGTGACTGAGTACTTAAGAAACAAAGAATAAAGCAATTATTTAAATCTTGGATCTTTTCAAAGAAATTTCCAACAACTGACAATGTACAACATGTTAATAAAATTTTGACTATAGGAAAGTTGAAGTTTTATATTTTAATAACTTCATAAATATTGTAAAGTTTTTCTGAGTAAAACATTTTTACCTTTGTCATCTTTTTTCAAGTTTTTTTGGTCTAGTATATCTTAAATGATGTATTCTATTTTTTTTTCTGAAGAACTAAGTCGTTTTGCATATAACATATAGTAAAATGGCATTGAGTCATTAAAGTCTGGTTTTCAGAAAAATTTAACATTCCCTTTGATTTCTTTTTGGGAGGGAGGTCACTATTGTCTGTGGCTTTTTCCATCAAGTGGAATGTACAGCTTTAAAAAGTAGGTGTGGGAGCATTTGCTTATATTTGCTTACGCAGTTCAGAGTGGTGTATATATTATAAAATTCTTCTATAGTCTTTAAATGTGAAAATGTCATCAATAATGGTAGTATATATCAAATAAATAATGATCATAGCTCATTTCTAAATGCAGTAACATTGATTTATTGGTATATTTAGTGTTTGAAACAGAAATGGGTACAAAAGGTTGCTGTCAGCTTTCCAAGCCTTGAATCTACTACACATTCAGGGTAGTTTTCTTCAAGGCACCTGTTTAAAAAAGTTTTTTCTTCAAGGCACCTGTTTAAAAAGCAATTTTAGACAGACAATGGTTTTTATTTTAAAATTGCTTTTTAAATGATCTCTGTCTTTTCACTGTGGGATAGGAATTCTCAACCTGGTATAGTAGGGAGTAGGGCAGGGAAACACATTGAAACTACTTGGGGAATTTTCTCAGACAACACTGTCCCTCCTCCTGCAATTATTCCTATTCTATGGAAGTGTCCTTTGCAACTTTCATTTGCTCCTCTTCATTGTGGTGGCAAAAATAAAATTTTTCTCTGTTATCATTGATTATATTTACATGAAGTCATCTATATTCATTTGCATTATTGCAGATTTTTCCATCTTTATTGCACTTTTTTGAAACTTGGTATTTAATAAATACTATCCCTGTCTGGAATATAAAACCATTTTAATACCATTCCTAATATTATTGAAATGTCAAGTTATCTGCTTGGTTTGTGAATACATTCTTTTTTAAAAAATTTTTTTGAAGTTTTTATTTAAATTCCAGCTAGTTAGCATGCAATGTAATATTAGTTTTCAGGTATACAATATAGTGATTCAGCATGTACCTACATCACCGGGTCCTCCTCAGAAGTGTGCTCCTTAATCCCTATCACCTATCTCATCATCCCCCCCACCCACCTCCGTGCTGATAACCATCATTTCGTTCCCTGAAGTTAAGAATATGTTTCTTGGTTTGCCTCTCTCTTTCTTTTTTCTCTTTGCTCGTTTGTTTTGTTTCTTAAATTCCACGTGTGAGTGAGATCATGTGGTATTTGTCTTTGGCTGACTTGGCTTAGCATACTACTCTCTAGTTCCATCCATGTTATTGCAAATGGCAAGATTTTGTGTGAATGCGTCCTTTGGACTTATCTTTTTCTTAATATTCAGTTGGTTGGCCCTTTCCTTTTTTTCCCTTATATTCCTTTAAACTTTAAAAGCAATGATTCTCAACTTTGAGAGCATTGAAAAAGACCAAACTGTTTACTTGGGGAGTGAGCCCTTGACATGACATTTTAAAAAGCTGCTTAAGGTGGTTTAATGTGCAGCCAGAGTTGAGAACCAGTGCTCACTGGCAACCTGTGGAACTGATAATTTAAATATCCATCCTGCTAATATTTGTTTTTGTTGATAAGCTTCAAAAGTAGATTTAAAAAACTTCAAGAATAATAGATACAGAGAAAAGAGCTTGCTGTCTTAGGCTTTCTAAAGCAGTGCTTCTCAGCTTTGGCTGCCATTAGACTCACATAGGGACCTTCTAAAGTTCCCGTAGCCCAAGTCCCACTCCAGACCAGGTAACTTAAGACTCTGGAGGCAGGGCATATACATCAGCATTTTAAGAAACCTCCTCAGATGATTCCAGTACATCTACTCAGATGACTCCATCATTTAAGTTAGCAAAGCCTGGGAAACATTATGAAGATATTTATCATCCCCAAATCATAAATTGTGCATGTTGGGTTTTAATTACACTACTTTGGGCCCTCTTTATCAGCATTCAGAGCCAACTGCACCAGTGGGTCTCAAAGTATGAACTCTGACCAGCAGTGTCAGGATCACCAGGGTACTTGTTAGAAGTGAAAATTCACGGGCCCTACCCTAGATCCATTGATCAGAAGCTCTGGTGTCTGTTTTAATAAGCCCCTCATGTGATTCTGATGCATGCTCCAGATATAGCATTGCAGAGGGGTGAACTCTGCTATATTTGATGATATACTACGTTCGTATTCACTTTTCCATTTCAAACTCAGATTACTTGTATTTCTTGTGTTTAGACTCAAGATTTTGGGCAACATAGGACTTCTCCAAAATGCCCTAGGGGTGCCTGGGTGGCTCAGTCTGTTAAGCAACTGCCTTCAGCTCAGGTCACAATCCCAGGGTCCTGGGATTGAGCCTGTCCTGGGGCTCCCTGCTCAGCAGGGAGCCTGCTTCTCTCTCTCTCTCTGCCTCTCCCCCTGCTTGTGTTCTCCCTCTCTCTTTCTCAAGTAAATAAATAAAATCTTTGAAAAATAGTAAAGTTTTTAAATTTCCCCAGGAAACTGCTAATCACTTGCTAAACTTTAATAAAATGGCAGTTTTCCATATTTACTGCTTGGGAGAGAAACTACAGTGATGATCAGATCCACAGTTAATGATACAATCATTCCTGTGCTGTAGAGGGAGACCATTTAAGTTAGCAGAATTTAATAATTATTTACAGTGCGAGGCACTGTTTTAGCCACTTTTCATGAGTTTATGATACCTTTATGAGGTAGATACTATTCTCCTTTTGCAGGTGAAGAAACTGAGGTACAAGGAGGTAAGTATCCTCTCTAAGTCACACAACTTGGGCATGGGGGCCCTGGGATGGGACATAGGAAGTCTTTTTACAAAGGCTGCAGTATGCTGCTATCTTACAGTGAGCATGGTACGGAAGCACCATAATTATAACAGTAATCTCTATTGAGCCATAGCTGTGCTGGGCACTGTGCTGAGCTGAAGTATCCCCAGTATCTCATTAAGGTCTCACAGTAAAACAGACATGTTTGAATGCCACCCACTTCCCTTTTCTAGATGAGGAAATTGAGCTCTGGTGGTGAAATAATTTGCTTAATGTCAGAGTATATGAGGTAAAACCAGGACTCAAAGCTCTCTTTTTTAGAGAGCATGTGAGTGGGGGAGGTATAGGTGGAAGCTAGAGGGGGAGAGAAGGAGAGAGAATTTTTTTTTTAAGATTTTATTTTTCATAAGAGACACCCAGAGAAAGAGAGAGAGAGGTAGAGACACAGGCAGAGGGAGAAGCAGGCTCCATGCAGGGAGTCCAACGTGGGATTCGATCCCGGGTCTCCAGGATCACGCCCTGGGCTGAAGGCAGGCACTCAACTGCTGAGCCACCCAGGGATCCCAGGAGAGAGAATCTTAAGCAGACTCCATGGGGCTTGATCCCATGACCTTGAGATCATGACCTGAGCCGAAAGCAAGAGTCAGATGCTTAACAGGCTGAGTCACCCAGGTGCCCCTCTTTTTAAAAAATAATTGTTGAACTCTTCCTAACTTAGAAAAAAATAGTTGGTTTAGTACAGTGGCTATGGCTGCAAGCACATTCATCAGAAAGTTTGGATTCAAATGCCATTTTTGCCATTTGGGCTGTGTTCCTGGGTAAATTAATTATTTTTCACATTTGAGAGTCAGACATGTTATGTAAAAATGTTAAGAACAAGACCTAACTCACAAAAAGCATTCAGTAATGATGACTGCCAGTTTTTTTGGTGTGCAAATAAATACACTATTTCCTATGTGTTTTTTGAGATATTATGTAGTGAATTTTTTGTGGTTTTCTCAGATTAACACTTGGACCCAGTGCTTTAAATTTATACTTCACCTGAAGATGTTTGGAAGTGAAAAAAAATACATGTTGAGAACGTTGAAAATGTAATATGCTGTTTAAAAATAAGTTTATCCTATGTTTCCTGACTTTTCAGACACCCTGGGTATATCATTTAATAAACAACAGTGAAGATAGTGTTTTAGGTATTAACTGCATCTAAATTTAAGGAGAATAATTAATTGGCTTTTGGCAGATGAAACTACCATCACAAGACACATTTTCTATCATCTCCAAAAGTCCTTCCTGTCTCTAAAGTATATCCCTCCCTTTGCCCTAGCCCTGGGCAACCAGTGATGCGCTTTTTGTCATCGTAGATTTGTTTACATTTTATCTAAAAGGAATCGGAATCGGACCTGGGACTGTTTTGTGTCTGGCTCTTTCACTCACCATAACTGAGATTCATGTTGTATGTATCGGTTTCTTCTTTTTACTTCTGAGTAGTATTCCATTGAACAGACATTTATCCATTCACCTGTCAATGGCCATTGAGTTTCTTTCCAGTTTTTGGCTATTGTGAATATAGCTGCTATGAATATTATGTCCCCCTTTGTATGGACGTAAGTTTTTGTTTCTTTTGGGCATGGAATGTCTTGGTATATGCTAAACTTTTAAACTTCCAAATGATTTTCCAAAGTCATGCTATTTTACATTTTTACCAGCATTATGTGAGTTCCAATGGCTGCACATCTTCATATCGGGTGCTGGCAGTTTTTAAAATTTTTTGCATTCTGGTGGGTGCAGTGTATGTGTACTCTGGTGTGCCTCTCCCAGAGCACTACTGTGTTTACTGGCCACTCCACACCTTTGAGATAGCGAAGCAAGTATTCAAAGTCCTTTGCCCATTTGAAAAATGAAGTTGTCAGGATTTTCTTTTTTTTTTCAAGATTTCGTTTATTTATCATGAGACACAGAGAGAGAGAGTCAGAGACACA